TTCACAATATCTCTACAAACAGAAACCTGTCAGGAATCAGTAGCCAGCCTTTCTACGTCACTTTAGTTCTCCATATACTTCACAATATCTCTACAAACAGAAACCTGTCAGGAATCAGTAGTCAGTCTTTCTACATCACTTTAGTTCTCAAAATACCTCAAATATCTCTTCAAACAGAAACCTGTCAGGAAGTCTTTTAGCTTTTCTAAATGCAAGTAGGTTTAATCGTGACTTATATTTTATAATATCCATAATTACTTTCATAATTTTCCATATTCCATAAATATTTGGTGATGCATTTACGAGTGTTCATATCAAATTCAGGCACGGCCATATTGTTTATATTGAAGGCCACAAAACGCAACATCTTGTGGCAAAATGCAAAAACAAGAGATGATATGATGAAAAATATGTACTCTGCATCCATAAAAATCTGGGTTTTTTTGGCCAACTAACAGGTGCTAATTTTAGAGCCAATTAATTGGATTACACGACTGTCATGTGCTATCACCAGTTAAATAGAAGAAAGGTAACACCAAAGTCTCTTGTTGTGTCTACACGACAACGGGGATGACACAGCATATATTTTTGTTGCTGTTCATAACAATGTGGACCAGGAAGCACATATTACTGTACTGTGTACACCACAATGGTACGGAAAGAGTTAACTTAATTGTATTAGAAATCCTTGTTGTCAGTGAACCTGACAGCTTGTTTCCACTTTGGGATTTTATGATGGTGCCCATTCTCCTACTGCCCATCCTCCTACTGGTCAGTAAGTCTTTGTACTATACGGTGTCAAGTTGTCCACAAGTCACATATTTAACTATTTTATTGGGTTCGAGTGAGTTTGATGCCGTTTTGTTTGCTCCCTAGTGGAGGTATTGGACCTCACTGGGATGGTCTAGTCAGCACTATGGTATGATGCTCCCTAGTGGAGGTATTGGACTCCACTGGGATGGTCTAGCCAGCACTATGGTATGATGCTCCCTGGTAGAGGTGTTGGACTCCACTGGGATGGTCTAGCCAGCACTATGGTATGATGCTCCCTGGTGGAGGTATTGGACTCCACTGGGATGGTCTAGCCAGCACTATGGTATGATGCTCCCTGGTGGAGGTATTGGACTCCACTGGGATGGTCTAGTCAGCACTATGGTATAAGAAATTTGCTGATTTAATTATGGTAATGGTTACTTTCCTGAAATTGACCAACTCTCATGACATGATAATTATGATAACTACCTAAAGTCCCAATCTCCTCTCTGCTTCTCTTCATCCTGTTAATCCAGTGTTTAACTTCAGTTTTTATTTATAGAAAGTGATGATCCATTCATGCATACTGGTCCTGTAGAAAAGGCTTCCAAATGGAGGTTAGGAGATTTCTGTTGTATTGGGTTACATTGGATGGCTCAAATAAAAGAACAGATGACCAAAACAGCTTATTGATAATTTTAAAGAAGAAATGCCCATACGCCCTGTAACACAGAGGCTGTCGGCCAACTGTTCATGGGGGTCCAATATTATAACCAACATCATCGGCTTGCTGTCGTCATTGTCACGGAGATTTAACATGAAGTTTATTACTGGGTTTGAAGGTCGGTTTAGTACATAGCTGCCTGCCAATCAAACAATCAGTTTCTTTTTTATCATCTACAGTGACTAGAGCAATTGTTACTTAGTTCTGAAGTATCTGATAAAATTATATATAAAAATGTAATTATTCGGCTTAACATTTATGAAATTGTCATAAATAAATAGAGTGTAGCTTGCCAGCATTGTGACGTACTTGGTAAGTCAGTGATGAACATCAGAGGTGTACAAGTTTTATAGAAAGTCCTTCAGTTTCATTGATCAAATTATCTTTGTGACCTTGAGGTACGTGACCTTGCCTAGACTTGTTAGACATCAATACAGTCTGATGGAGTGTATGTGTAAGGTATTGGGTGTGATTATAACATCGACCTTACATTTTGGTGGTTTGTTTGGGGTTTGTGCTGAATCATCTCTCACTTAGATCAGAAATTGCTAATCAAAGGAAATGAAATTGTAACAGTTATGTGGCCTCAAAAATCAACACTTACCTTACAGAAGGAGTCAGACTGATGGTGTAAGACTGGGGACAGGGTCGTAGGGGATTTATACCTTACAGGAGTCAGACTGATGGTGTAAGACTGGGGACAGGGTTGTAGTGGATTTATACCTTACAGAAGGAGTCAGACTGATGGTGTAAGACTGGGGACAGGGTCGTAGGGGATTTATACCTTACAGAAGGAGTCAGACTGATGGTGTAAGACTGGGGACAGGGTCGTAGGGGATTTATACCTTACAGAAGGAGTCAGACTGATGGTGTAAGACTGGGGACAGGGTCGTAGGGGATTTATACCTTACAGAAGGAGTCAGACTGATGGTGTAAGACTGGGGACAGGGTCGTAGGGGATTTATACCTTACAGAAGGAGTCAGACTGATGGTGTAAGACTGGGGACAGGGTCGTAGGGGATTTATACCTTACAGAAGGAGTCAGACTGATGGTGTAAGACTGGGGACAGGGTCGTAGGGGATTTATACCTTACAGAAGGAGTCAGACTGATGGTGTAAGACTGGGGACAGGGTCGTAGGGGATTTATACCTTACAGAAGGAGTCAGACTGATGGTGTAAGACTGGGGACAGGGTCGTAGGGGATTTATACCTTACAGAAGGAGTCAGACTGATGGTGTAAGACTGGGGACAGGGTCGTAGGGGATTTATACCTTACAGAAGGAGTCAGACTGATGGTGTAAGACTGGGGACAGGGTCGTAGGGGATTTATACCTTACAGAAGGAGTCAGACTGATGGTGTAAGACTGGGGACAGGGTCGTAGGGGATTTATACCTTACAGAAGGAGTCAGACTGATGGTGTAAGACTGGGGACAGGGTCGTAGGGGATTTATACCTTACAGAAGGAGTCAGACTGATGGTGTAAGACTGGGGACAGGGTCGTAGGGGATTTATACCTTACAGAAGGAGTCAGACTGATGGTGTAAGACTGGGGACAGGGTCGTAGGGGATTTATACCTTACAGAAGGAGTCAGACTGATGGTGTAAGACTGGGGACAGGGTCGTAGGGGATTTATACCTTACAGAAGGAGTCAGACTGATGGTGTAAGACTGGGGACAGGGTCGTAGGGGATTTATACCTTACAGAAGGAGTCAGACTGATGGTGTAAGACTGGGGACAGGGTCGTAGGGGATTTATACCTTACAGAAGGAGTCAGACTGATGGTGTAAGACTGGGGACAGGGTCGTAGGGGATTTATACCTTACAGAAGGAGTCAGACTGATGGTGTAAGACTGGGGACAGGGTCGTAGGGGATTTATACCTTACAGAAGGAGTCAGACTGATGGTGTAAGACTGGGGACAGGGTCGTAGGGGATTTATACCTTACAGAAGGAGTCAGACTGATGGTGTAAGACTGGGGACAGGGTCGTAGGGGATTTATACCTTACAGAAGGAGTCAGACTGATGGTGTAAGACTGGGGACAGGGTCGTAGGGGATTTATACCTTACAGAAGGAGTCAGACTGATGGTGTAAGACTGGGGACAGGGTCGTAGGGGATTTATACCTTACAGAAGGAGTCAGACTGATGGTGTAAGACTGGGGACAGGGTCGTAGGGGATTTATACCTTACAGAAGGAGTCAGACTGATGGTGTAAGACTGGGGACAGGGTCGTAGGGGATTTATACCTTACAGAAGGAGTCAGACTGATGGTGTAAGACTGGGGACAGGGTCGTAGGGGATTTATACCTTACAGAAGGAGTCAGACTGATGGTGTAACACTGGGGACAGGGTTGTAGTGGATTTACAGGTTTAATGAGACAGTAATGGAGGATGGTTAACAGCTTATATTGGTTAAGGATGTAAGACATGAGCAATAGGTTGGATATTTGGAAACCTGACCTCCCTTCCCTTTCCCCAAATACACACACTTTCCAGAAGAAGTCTGTGACCCTTGCTATGAGTAATATGCCATCTACATGACTGTAAGAATATGCTACACATTTTTAGAATAAAGAAAATAAAAATATAAGTCCTTGACAATGGGTTGTCAGGTGCACTACTTGGGATTATTTTTACTTCGGACCTGCAGAGAAATTTGGGTGGTGAAACAGAGTTGTGTATACGCCAACAAAAATGCTTGATCTGACATGCTGCAGTGCAATAACTTGACAGAGAAGAAGGTCACTATGTTGGCTGGGTCCTGATGTACATCAGCGAATAGTCTTTGCCTGTTTAGCACTGAGGCCTTCTGGTACACGTTGATAGAGACAACACCCCGGAGATGTCACGATATTGGCATCCTACAGCCGTGTCGGGATTGACATGAATTGTAGTGAAATGGTCATTAGATATGACGATGATGACATCAAATAGGTCAATGAGATCTCGTTTAGTACTGTACCTTCTGAGGGGGAGTTCTTAGGTACAACATCAGTCCTAATTATTCTCACGTTTTATCGACTTTTTTTTATATCAGTCTATCGTTGATTAACGTCAGAACTCTGGCCCTCTATAATATGTGGGAAATAAGCGACCCGCATCAGGGTCGCTCTTCAAACTGATATTTTAGAAACAAATCGTCTATTATTTTAGAAATATATAAAATGTTCTTATTTGGAATCAATAAATTGGCTTCATCACTCAACAATATCAATTTTCACAAGTTTGCCTTTCAGGGTCGTGATTCAAGGTCAAGGCCGCTATTACTTTCAATAGAAAATATTTGTCATCGCTCTTCATTTTTCTGTTGATTTGGAAGAAACTACAACACAAATATATATATATCTCAAACAAATTTGCGTTTCAACACTTTGAGTGGAACGGGTACGAATCCTACATGACGCTGCCTTGAGGAGTATGCCCAGTAAGGGAATTCTTGTCTCACAGACATTGTCAAGTTATAGAAACTTAAATATCTTTTTAAATTTCACAAATGTAACTGACTTATCCTATTTTTACAGGTGCTCACTCCGAAGTTCCCTGTGGTAGTCAAGTTAGGTCACGCTCATTCTGGTGTAGGAAAAGTAAGTATATGTGCCGTCACCTTTACAGATGACTTTTTACATATTTATTTCTCCAATGCATTGTTCTGTATTTATAGAACAGATAAAAATGCGGTATTAAATTATCAATCTTGTTCTTGTAATAAAAAAAGATTACCTTTGAACTAGATAACACTGAAGTACCTATCAATTTCTACTCATGCTTAGAAATATAAATGAAAACATTTGAAATCAAATGATTTTGGTGTAAAATTATCATAATGTTTCTGATTGTATTTCATTCTGCCATTAAGACTACCATGACTCACACAAGTAATCAGCTTACTCCTGGTTGGTGTATTCTGAACCAGCATTCTCTCTCAAACTCAGACATTATACATTGTAAGATTTAATTTGTCTATGTTAGTGGATATTTGGTACTCACAGGTTTCTATATGCCTAGTGTTTCTTTGTACAAAGCAGTTCAATATAATAGAAGTCTCTAAATAAGTTTATACAAGCTTCTGTATTAGTGGGGTTACGTGATACAAGTTTCTGTATAAGTGGGGTTTAGTTTATACAGGTTTCTGTATTAGTGGGGTTTAGTTTATACAAGTTTCTGTTTTAGTGGGGTTTAGTTTATACAAGTTTCTGTATTAGTGGGGTTTAGTTATCCAAGTTTCTGTATAAGTGGGGTCTAGTTTATACAGGTTTCTGTATTAGTGGGGTTTAGTTTATACAAGTTTCTGTTTTAGTGGGGTTTAGTTTATACAAGTTTCTGTATTAGTGGGGTTTAGTTTATACAAGTTTCTGTATTAGTGGGGTTTAGTTTATACAAGTTTCTGTATTAGTGGGGTTTAGTTTATACAAGTTTCTGTATTAGTGGGGTTTAGTTTATACAAGTTTCTGTATTAGTGGGGTTTAGTTTATACAAGTTTCTGTATTAGTGGGGTTTAGTTTATACAAGTTTCTGTATTAGTGGGGTTTAGTTTATACAAGTTTCTGTATTAGTGGGGTTTAGTTTATACAAGTTTCTGTATTAGTGGGGTTTAGTTTATACAAGTTTCTGTATTAGTGGGGTTTAGTTTATACAAGTTTCTGTATTAGTGGGGTTTAGTTTATACAAGTTTCTGTATTAGTGGGGTTTAGTTTATACAAGTTTCTGTATTAGTGGGGTTTAGTTTATACAAGTTTCTGTATTAGTGGGGTTTAGTTTATACAAGTTTCTGTATTAGTGGGGTTTAGTTTATACAAGTTTCTGTATTAGTGGGGTTTAGTTTATACAAGTTTCTGTATTAGTGGGGTTTAGTTTATACAAGTTTCTGTATTAGTGGGGTTTAGTTTATACAAGTTTCTGTATTAGTGGGGTTTAGTTTATACAAGTTTCTGTATTAGTGGGGTTTAGTTTATACAAGTTTCTGTATTAGTGGGGTTTAGTTTATACAAGTTTCTGTATTAGTGGGGTTTAGTTTATACAAGTTTCTGTATTAGTGGGGTTTAGTTTATACAAGTTTCTGTATTAGTGGGGTTTAGTTTATACAAGTTTCTGTATTAGTGGGGTTTAGTTTATACAAGTTTCTGTATTAGTGGGGTTTAGTTTATACAAGTTTCTGTATTAGTGGGGTTTAGTTTATACAAGTTTCTGTATTAGTGGGGTTTAGTTTATACAAGTTTCTGTATTAGTGGGGTTTAGTTTATACAAGTTTCTGTATTAGTGGGGTTTAGTTTATACAAGTTTCTGTATTAGTGGGGTTTAGTTTATACAAGTTTCTGTATTAGTGGGGTTTAGTTTATACAAGTTTCTGTATTAGTGGGGTTTAGTTTATACAAGTTTCTGTATTAGTGGGGTTTAGTTTATACAAGTTTCTGTATTAGTGGGGTTTAGTTTATACAAGTTTCTGTATTAGTGGGGTTTAGTTTATACAAGTTTCTGTATTAGTGGGGTTTAGTTTATACAAGTTTCTGTATTAGTGGGGTTTAGTTTATACAAGTTTCTGTATTAGTGGGGTTTAGTTTATACAAGTTTCTGTATTAGTGGGGTTTAGTTTATACAAGTTTCTGTATTAGTGGGGTTTAGTTTATACAAGTTTCTGTATTAGTGGGGTTTAGTTTATACAAGTTTCTGTATTAGTGGGGTTTAGTTTATACAAGTTTCTGTATTAGTGGGGTTTAGTTTATACAAGTTTCTGTATTAGTGGGGTTTAGTTTATACAAGTTTCTGTATTAGTGGGGTTTAGTTTATACAAGTTTCTGTATTAGTGGGGTTTAGTTTATACAAGTTTCTGTATTAGTGGGGTTTAGTTTATACAAGTTTCTGTATTAGTGGGGTTTAGTTTATACAAGTTTCTGTATTAGTGGGGTTTAGTTTATACAAGTTTCTGTATTAGTGGGGTTTAGTTTATACAAGTTTCTGTATTAGTGGGGTTTAGTTTATACAAGTTTCTGTATTAGTGGGGTTTAGTTTATACAAGTTTCTGTATTAGTGGGGTTTAGTTTATACAAGTTTCTGTATTAGTGGGGTTTAGTTTATACAAGTTTCTGTATTAGTGGGGTTTAGTTTATACAAGTTTCTGTATTAGTGGGGTTTAGTTTATACAAGTTTCTGTATTAGTGGGGTTTAGTTTATACAAGTTTCTGTATTAGTGGGGTTTAGTTTATACAAGTTTCTGTATTAGTGGGGTTTAGTTTATACAAGTTTCTGTATTAGTGGGGTTTAGTTTATACAAGTTTCTGTATTAGTGGGGTTTAGTTTATACAAGTTTCTGTATTAGTGGGGTTTAGTTTATACAAGTTTCTGTATTAGTGGGGTTTAGTTTATACAAGTTTCTGTATTAGTGGGGTTTAGTTTATACAAGTTTCTGTATTAGTGGGGTTTAGTGATACAAGTTTCTGTATTAGTGGGGTTTAGTTTATACAAGTTTCTGTATTAGCGGGGTTTAGTTTATACAAGTTTCTGTATTAGTGGGGTCTAGTTTATACAAGTTTCTGTATTAGTGGGGTTTAGTGATACAAGTTTCTGTATTAGTGGGGTTTATTGATACAAGTTTCTGTATTAGTGGGGTTTAGTTTATACAAGTTTCTGTATTAGTGGGGTTTAGTGATACAAGTTTCTGTATTAGTAGGGTTTAGTTTAAGGGCTGGTGAAGTAGAAAGCTAATTTCAACTTTCATTGTTTTCATTCACATTGAAATCAATAAGCAGAGGGTGAATGATGGTCATCAATTTGAATGAAACTTTTGTCAGCCACATATCTTCTGCATTTAATATGAGATGAACTTTTATGTGTTTTTGTGTTACTTTGTGACCACCACAGGTGAAGGTAGAAAGTTTTGAATTGTTCCATGAATTAGCGGGTGTGTTATCGCTCACCCGTCTGTATGCTTCCTCAGAGACCTTCATAGATAGCCGATACGACCTGCATTTGCAGAAAATTGGAAATAATTATAGGGCTTTTATGTGAGTTCCATCCTCAACCCCAAACTGCATGTGTATTGTCAGTCGGTGTGCTAGATGAGTGTTAGCTATACATTTGTATATATAAACCCAGTGGTTCTATCTTGAGTGGATATGTAATGCTATTGTGTGAATGTCCTGTCTGTTCCCAAATCTTACTATATAGACATGGGTATTCTCACTGTCACTGGGCAAAAAGTCAAGGAATAATCTCAGGACCCAGGGTCAAGGTCAAAATAAAAGTCTGAAAATAACATAAGGCACCTGTAGCTATTGTTTGACTCACTACATTTATTATCAAACAAAATAACAAAATTTGTCCAAGCTTCATTGACTAATTATATGTCAAAAGTCAAGGTTGAAATTGAATGTAAAAGTTGGAACTTCTTCATGAGTGAATGCCATTTTAAATCAAACTCAATTGAATTTGATGGACCAATTTCAGGCCATAACTGTAGGTCAACATAAAGGAAAATAATGTCAAAAACTGTTTCATACCTGCTGTTTTCTGAATTGCACTGTAGGTATTGTTGTTTTTAGAAAACCTAAGAGTTTAAGCAATCCATACAATCAGTAAAGTTTGTAGGCTCAGGCACCAAAGGTCAAGGTCAAGGTCAAGGTCAAAATCAGATATCGAAAGACTCAAAGTGAACAAATGTCAGACAAGCACAAAATACATGTTGAAGGTCAAAATAAAAGTCTGAAGTCACATTAACCAAAGGTCAAAGTTCAAACAATGACAAGGTCAGGGTAAGAGGTCAAAGGTTAATTAATGGCAATTAAAGTCATGATAAAAGGTCAGAGGTAAGTTTATGTTAGAGCAGTATACCCAGGGTATGTTTGTGTTAGAGCAGTATCCCCAGGGTAAGTTTGTGTTAGAGCAGTATCCCCAGGGTTAGTTTATGTTAGAGCAGTATACCCAGGGTTAGTTTATGTTAGAGCAGTATCCCAAGGGTTAGTTTGTGTTAGAGCAGTATCCCCAGGGTTAGATTGTTCTAGAGCAGTATCCCCAGGGTAAGTTTGTGTTAGAGCAGTATCCCCAGGGTTAGTTTATGTTAGAGCAGTATCCCCAGGGTTAGTTTATGTTAGAGCAGTATCCCAAGGGTTAGTTTGTGTTAGAGCAGTATCCCCAGGGTTAGTTTGTGTTAGAGCAGTATCCCCAGGGTTAGTTTGTGTTAGAGCAGTATCCCCAGGGTTAGTTTGTGTTAGAGCAGTATCCCCAGGGTTAGTTTGTGTTAGAGCAGTATCCCCAGGGTTAGTTTGTGTTAGAGCAGTATCCCCAGGGTTAGTTTGTGTTAGAGCAGTATCCCCAGGGTTAGTTTGTGTTAGAGCAGTATCCCCAGGGTTAGTTTGTGTTAGAGCAGTATCCCCAGGGTTAGTTTGTGTTAGAGCAGTATCCCCAGGGTTAGTTTGTGTTAGAGCAGTATCCCCAGGGTTAGTTTGTGTTAGAGCAGTATCCCCAGGGTTAGTTTGTGTTAGAGCAGTATCCCCAGGGTTAGTTTGTGTTAGAGCAGTATCCCCAGGGTTAGTTTGTGTTAGAGCAGTATCCCCAGGGTTAGTTTGTGTTAGAGCAGTATCCCCAGGGTTAGTTTGTGTTAGAGCAGTATCCCCAGGGTTAGTTTGTGTTAGAGCAGTATCCCCAGGGTTAGTTTGTGTTAGAGCAGTATCCCCAGGGTTAGTTTGTGTTAGAGCAGTATCCCCAGGGTTAGTTTGTGTTAGAGCAGTATCCCCAGGGTTAGTTTGTGTTAGAGCAGTATCCCCAGGGTTAGTTTGTGTTAGAGCAGTATCCCCAGGGTTAGTTTGTGTTAGAGCAGTATCCCCAGGGTTAGTTTGTGTTAGAGCAGTATCCCCAGGGTTAGTTTGTGTTAGAGCAGTATCCCCAGGGTTAGTTTGTGTTAGAGCAGTATCCCCAGGGTTAGTTTGTGTTAGAGCAGTATCCCCAGGGTTAGTTTGTGTTAGAGCAGTATCCCCAGGGTTAGTTTGTGTTAGAGCAGTATCCCCAGGGTTAGTTTGTGTTAGAGCAGTATCCCCAGGGTTAGTTTGTGTTAGAGCAGTATCCCCAGGGTTAGTTTGTGTTAGAGCAGTATCCCCAGGGTTAGTTTGTGTTAGAGCAGTATCCCCAGGGTTAGTTTGTGTTAGAGCAGTATCCCCAGGGTTAGTTTGTGTTAGAGCAGTATCCCCAGGGTTAGTTTGTGTTAGAGCAGTATCCCCAGGGTTAGTTTGTGTTAGAGCAGTATCCCCAGGGTTAGTTTGTGTTAGAGCAGTATCCCCAGGGTTAGTTTGTGTTAGAGCAGTATCCCCAGGGTTAGTTTGTGTTAGAGCAGTATCCCCAGGGTTAGTTTGTGTTAGAGCAGTATCCCCAGGGTTAGTTTGTGTTAGAGCAGTATCCCCAGGGTTAGTTTGTGTTAGAGCAGTATCCCCAGGGTTAGTTTGTGTTAGAGCAGTATCCCCAGGGTTAGTTTGTGTTAGAGCAGTATCCCCAGGGTTAGTTTGTGTTAGAGCAGTATCCCCAGGGTTAGTTTGTGTTAGAGCAGTATCCCCAGGGTTAGTTTGTGTTAGAGCAGTATCCCCAGGGTTAGTTTGTGTTAGAGCAGTATCCCCAGGGTTAGTTTGTGTTAGAGCAGTATCCCCAGGGTTAGTTTGTGTTAGAGCAGTATCCCCAGGGTTAGTTTGTGTTAGAGCAGTATCCCCAGGGTTAGTTTGTGTTAGAGCAGTATCCCCAGGGTTAGTTTGTGTTAGAGCAGTATCCCCAGGGTTAGTTTGTGTTAGAGCAGTATCCCCAGGGTTAGTTTGTGTTAGAGCAGTATCCCCAGGGTTAGTTTGTGTTAGAGCAGTATCCCCAGGGTTAGTTTGTGTTAGAGCAGTATCCCCAGGGTTAGTTTGTGTTAGAGCAGTATCCCCAGGGTTAGTTTGTGTTAGAGCAGTATCCCCAGGGTTAGTTTGTGTTAGAGCAGTATCCCCAGGGTTAGTTTGTGTTAGAGCAGTATCCCCAGGGTTAGTTTGTGTTAGAGCAGTATCCCCAGGGTTAGTTTGTGTTAGAGCAGTATCCCCAGGGTTAGTTTGTGTTAGAGCAGTATCCCCAGGGTTAGTTTGTGTTAGAGCAGTATCCCCAGGGTTAGTTTGTGTTAGAGCAGTATCCCCAGGGTTAGTTTGTGTTAGAGCAGTATCCCCAGGGTTAGTTTGTGTTAGAGCAGTATCCCCAGGGTTAGTTTGTGTTAGAGCAGTATCCCCAGGGTTAGTTTGTGTTAGAGCAGTATCCCCAGGGTTAGTTTGTGTTAGAGCAGTATCCCCAGGGTTAGTTTGTGTTAGAGCAGTATCCCCAGGGTTAGTTTGTGTTAGAGCAGTATCCCCAGGGTTAGTTTGTGTTAGAGCAGTATCCCCAGGGTAAGTTTGTGTTAGAGCAGTATCCCCAGGGTTAGTTTGTGTTATAGCGGTATCCCAAGGGTTAGTTTGTGTTAGAGCAGTATCTTCAGGGTTTGTTTGTGTTAGAGCAGTATCCCCAGGGTTAGTTTATGTTAGAGCAGTATCCCCAGGGTTAGTTTGTGTTAGAGCAGTATTCCCAGGGTTAGTTTGTGTTAGAGCAGTACCCCCAGGGTTTGTTTGTGTTAGAGCAGTATCCCCAGGGTTAGTTTGTGTTATAGCAGTATCCCCAGGGTATGTTTGTGTTAGAGCAGTATCCCCAGGGTTAGTTTGTGTTATAGCAGTATCCCCAGGGTTAGTTTGTGTTATAGCAGTATCCCCAGGGTATGTTTGTGTTAGAGCAGTATCTTCAGGGTTAGTTTGTGTGAGAGCAGTATCCCCAGGGTATGTTTATGTTACAGCAGTATCCCCAGGGTTAGTTTGTGTTATAGCAGTATCCCCAGGGTATGTTTGTGTTAGAGCAGTATCTTCAGGGTTAGTTTGTGTTAGAGCAGTATCCCCAGGGTAAGGTTGTGTTAGAGCAGTATCCCCAGGGTTAGTTTATGTTAGAGCAGTATCTTCAGGGTTTGTTTGTGTTAAAGCAGTATCCCCAGGGTTAGTTTGTTTTAGAGCAGTATTCCAAGGGTTAGTTTGTGTTAGAGCAGTATCCCCAGGGATTGTTTGAGGTAGAGCAGTATCCCCAGGGTTAGTTTGTGTTATAGCAGTATCTTCAGGGTTTGTTTGTGTTAGAGCAGTATCCCCAGGGTTTGTTTGTTTTAGAGCAGTATCCCCAGGGTTAGTTTGTGTTTGAGCAGTATACCCAGGGTTAGTTTGTGTTAGAGCAGTATACTCAGGGTAGGTTTGTGTTAGAGCAGTATCCCCAGGGTAAGGTTGTGTTAGAGCAGTATCCCCAGGGTTAGTTTATGTTAGAGCAGTATCCCCAGGGTTAGTTTGTTTTAGAGCAGTATTCCAAGGGTTAGTTTGTGTTAGAGCAGTATCCCCAGGGATTGTTTGAGGTAGAGCAGTATCCCCAGGGTTAGTTTGTGTTATAGCAGTATCTTCAGGGTTTGTTTGTGTTAGAGCAGTATCCCCAGGGTTTGTTTGTGTTAGAGCAGTATTCCCAGGGTTTGTTTGTGTTAGAGCAGTATCCCCAGGGTAAGTTTGTGTTAGAGCAGTATCCCCAGGGTAAGTTTGTGTTAGAGCAGTATCCCCACGGTTAGTTTGTGTTAGAGCAGTATCCCCAGGGATTGTTTGAGGTAGAGCAGTATCCCCAGGGTTAGTTTGTGTTAGAGCAGTATCTTCAGGGTTTGTTTGTGTTAGAGCAGTATCCCCAGGGTTTGTTTGTGTTAGAGCAGTATCTTCAGGGTTTGTTTGTGTTAAAGCAGTATCCCCAGGGTTAGTTTGTTTTAGAGCAGTATTCCCAGGGTTAGTTTGTGTTAGAGCAGTACCCCCAGGGTATGTTTGTGTTAGAGCAGTATCCCTAGGGTTAGTTTGTGTTATGGCAGTATCCCCAGGGTATGTTTGTGTTAGAGCAGTATCCCCAGGGTATGTTTGTGTTAGAGCAGTATCCCCAGGGTATGTTTGTGTTAGCACAGTATCCCCAG